TGGACCACGAAAAAAACCGAAGCGCAGCGATGGAGGGTAGCTTTGGCCCTTACATTCGCTATGCAACGGGATGAAGATCATAGAATTGCAAAGTGAGTGCGTGCGGTGATTCAGGCCTTGCCTTGTCCACGATGTCTGCGAAGAGACCAGCAAGTGCGCGACCTGGCTTGCTGGCACGGCATGACTCGCACCCCTCGGGGAAGAGGATGGGCGAAAAAACTGAGCGAACTACAGAGGCTGCAAAGCAAAGGCTGGCACCCGTGAGCACTAGCCGCCACCAAGAATGAACACTTGAGACGATCCATGGTCCAGGGTCGATCGATTCTTAGAATCGCCACTGCAGCGCTACATCGGTCAAACTTCGTCGGTTCCGAAGAGCCGAAACCGTCAGCATCAGAGCAGCACGGCTGCCGCAAAGTCGTCACTGCTGAGCCCCATCGCATTACTCAGGAGGGAAAAAGTACACACAGGCACAATTAATCGTCGATCCCCAAGAAAATATGGAAAAATATGGGAAGTGGGCGGGAAGACAAAAACCCAGAAGATATGGGAAAATACGGGGGAAATATTTATTTGTGTGTATTTATTTGTGTGTCCTTGGGCCCCATCGCATTACAACAACGATGATGCCGGTTGCCCGAGGAAGTCGTTCCCGAGGACGGTGTTCGCCTCCGGGGAGGTGCCTGAGAGCCCTACAGCAAGGCATGCCAATCCCACCAACCCTCTGGGCGTGGGTGACATCAGAAGGATCGGGACGTTTGCAGTGGTGTTCATTACGCGTCTCAAGGCATGCACTCAAATAGCCGAGCAGGAGATCGAGTGGCAAGCGCTAAGACGCCACAACTTACGAATCTGCTGGCTCCAAGCGATACGGATTTCTGAGAACATGTTCAAAACGATACTGATCACTGAGACCATCATGAACCATTCCACTCATCGTAGCGTTTCTGCGCTACCTGGGCGACGACATGATTGGTCAGCCGAAGCGCCGAGGCAGAGCACTTGTTCCTCCACGAGAAGCAGACCCACCGCCGCCCCAGCACATCCACCATATTGTACTCCTATAGGCTCGCCGAAGTCAGAACCATGCCCGAGGGACTGATTCGAAAACGGCTGGGAGGGCGTCTCAACCTGGACCACGGAAGAGAACTTCCGGCACCTGTGAACACTAATCAGCCTCCACCAGGGGCGAACACCTGACAAGAGCCCTGGCTGCAGCAAGGCATGCGAATTATGGAAGAACATCCAGGCTAATACTAGCATACTAGCATGCTTTCTGGACTGTGAGCAGCACAATCGACGCGAACGCCAGCACAGCGCCGACAACGACTCTGAATTGCAACGGCTCCTGAAAGAAGACCACCTGCCACACTAATGCAAATACTACGTCAAGATAGCTGATCAAGCTGTTGAGCATCGCGGTGCCACCCTGCGCTCCCCAATTGATAGACCACTGTGTGCAGTACCCGGCACCACCGACCGCTGCAACCCAGAACAGGCATGTCGGCGAGCTCAACGACAAGAACGCCCCAGGGCCCTCTATTACCAGCGCCGAAATGCTGCACATGATCAGCCCAGCAATGCCGGTCATCCATGTCATCAGATCAGCCTGATGGGCCGTCGTCGAAGCACTCTGGTCACCGGCGGACTCCGTCGCCTTGCCAAGCCGCTTGAGAGAGATGTTCCTGACCGCATTGCAGAGAGATCCAAACAGCCCGAGTGCTATTGCAAAGTAGTAGCTAAGATGCCCAGAGTGATGCGCGTCGCTTCCACCTGCACCCGCAGATGCGACAAGAGCCACCCCACACATGCATGCCAATAAAGCCGCGCTCTCTGACCACCCAAACCTTTCATCCAGCATGAAAAAGGCTAGTACGCATGTAATGGCGGGCGATGCGTATTTAATCATGGTTGCTTCGCCTACTGCCATGGACGTCACGACGACTGAGAAGACGCCAAAGTTCAAGCTGCCCGAGACACAACGCACCATAATCCAAAATCTTCGACTGCTACCAATATACCAGATGTCATACGCTGGAGTGATGATGCCCCCGAGGCTCCAACTAGAAATGAGAGTCTGGATCAAGAAGCGCCCTGTTGCTGCAACCAAGGCTTGGCAACCAGCACGCCCAGCCATCTTTACCGCCACAGACTGGCTCGAATTGGACAATGACGAAATCATCAGAGCCAAGATCCCGACCAACATCCGGTACCTGGCGGTGTTGCATTCACTGCTGTTGGCGGCCTCGGCGTTCATGGAATTCGTGTCGCCGCCTTCCTTCTCCATGTGTGGATCGGAAACGGTAGAGACGGAGCGCCTATCTAAACCAGAGCCATCCTCGTACTCACCATCATCGGTGGATATCTCTCCCTTCTCTGGGTCAATCAGAGCGATGGAATCCATTTGGGTAGTGGAGAGATTTGCCAGGTGCCTACAGAGGAGAAAACCGAACCCAAGAAACTTGAGCCGAACAAACTTGAGCCAAAATGGCTACGGAATTGGCCTCTCTTGGACCGTTTTGGGGCGCTCTTGCAGGCCTCGCGGGCCGTCTTGGGGTGACCTTGGAAGCCTCTTGCGCAACCTTGGGTGGTCGGAAACCAAGAAGAGGGAGAACGTCAAAATCCTTTTATAAACCCTGTTAAAATCAATAGTTATGCCTCTTGGCGCCTTCTTCGAGGGCCTTCTCGCGGCGTCTGGGAGGCTCCCAGAGCCGTATTGATGCAGTGCCGGGCTGCCCCAGAGGGTCTCCGAAGCCCCCAGGGAAGCCGAAACACATTCTTGGGTGGTCTTCCGCCTGCCCAGCGGGGCGTCGTTAGGCCGTCCGGAAGCCCTCGGAGCCGTTCAGGGGCCCCCCCATTGGGGACTGTGGCACCGCCCCGCCCCCCCCCCCCACCGCCTACTCTGATATGCATGCGTATGTACAACGTATACTACACGTATATATACACATACATACATACATTCATACATATATACATACATACATACATACATGCATGCATGCATGCATGCATGCATGCATGCATGCATGCATGCATGCATGCATGCATGCATGCATGCATGCATACATACATACATACATACATACATACATACATACATACATACATACATACATACATACCCACGTACAAATATACACACACCTACATGTATAGATGGTGAGAGATGTGCGCGTATCCATGTATATTCATATGCATATTAACTCTCTTTTATCCTCTCTCTTTCTGCGCTCTCGCTCTCCCTCTCTCCTCTCTCTCTCTCTCTCTCTGCGTTTCCCAACTGCTGGCTCCGTCCCGGGTCCTGGGTTCCCATTTCCCGGCTCACGGCTCCCAATTCCCAACTCCTGGCTCCCGATCCCATAACTCCAGGTTCCCAAGTCCTGGTTCCTGGCTCCTTTGTTCCCCGCTCTGGTTCCCGGTTCTTTTGCAACTCCCGGTTCCCAGCTGCCTGTTGCCACTTCCCAGTTCTGGGTTCCTGGTCCCGAGTCCCGGCTCCTGGTTCCCACTTCCACGTCCTGGTCTTCGGTTCCCGAAAGTCCCTTCACTATTCCTCCATAGTGGGAGGAGGCTGAGGAGGAGGGAGCAGGAGGAGGAGGCAGAGGAGGAGAAGGCAGAGGAGAAGCAGGAGGAGCAGGAGGACCAGGAGGAGGATCAGGAAAAAAAGAGAGGGCATGCTTATGTACCACTCTCTTTCCCGGTAAATCTGGGTTCTGAAACAGGGGTCGAATTATAAACTCAACCCCATTAGGGGACATGGTTAAACCCTTCCACAGCTCCACACACATATATATATATATATATATATATATATATATATATATACATACATATATATATATATAGTACCCAAATCTACCCTTCCCCACGCCGCGTTGGCTGGGAGTGGGCTCAACCAAAAAATCAAATGGTTTGAAATAGGAACGGGTTTCCCGAGAGCTGGCGGCGGCTGCCGAGGGGCGGGTTCAAGAAATATCGCAGGCGGGTGGAAGGCGAGAGGGCTTTCTCAGAGGTGGCGGCGGCCCCCAGGGTGGGTCCCTTCGTGAGTCTGCACAGATTTCCCGATCCATGCTCGCCAGAGGGAGTGGATCGGGGCGGCAACGATAACAACAACGAACTGAGGGCGCCCCACGGGGGGGCAAAGCAGAGCCCATCGGGGTGGGGTGGTAGGAGTAGGGATGATAACATCACTAGTAGCAGTAGTAGTAGTAGTAGTAGTAGTAGTAGTAGTAGTAGTAGTAGTAGTAGTAGTAGTAGTAGTAGTAGTACTAGTAGTAGTAGTACGTAGTACGTAGTAGTACGTAGTAGTACGTAGTAGTACGTAGTAGTACGTAGTAGTACGTAGTAGTAGTAGTAGTAGTAGTAGTAGTAGTAGGAGTAGTAGTAGGAAGAGGAGTAGTCGTAGTCGTAGTCGTAGTCGTAGTAGTAGTAGTAGTAGTAGTAGTAGTAGTAGTAGTGTAGTAAACAGTAATAGGTTTATAGAGGAATATAGAATGATAGTAGTAGTAGTAGTAGTAGTAGTATAAGTAGTAGTAGTAGTGTAGTAGTAGTCGTTGGAGTAGTCGTGGTATTAGTAGTGGTAGTAGTAGTAGAGTAGTAGTAGTAATAGTAGTAGTAGTATTAGTAGTAGTAGTAGTAGTACTAGTAAGTTAGTAGTTAGTAGTAAGTAGTGGTAGTAGTCGTGGTAGTAAGTAGTGGTAGTAGTATAGTAGTTAGTTAGTAGTCGCCGTCGTTAGTTAGTATAGTAGAAGTTACTAATTCTGAGTAGTAGTAGTAGTAGTAGTCAGTGTAGTAGTAGTAGTAGTAGTAGTCGTAGTAGTAGAGAGTAGCGTAGAGTAGTAGTAGTAGTAAGTAGCAGTAGTAGTAGTAGTAGTTGTAGTAGTAGTAGTAGTACCAGTAGTAGTAGTTTAGTCGTAGTAGTTAGTAGTAGTAGTAGTTAGTAGTCCAGTAGTAGTAGTAGTAGTAAGTAGTAGTAGTAAAGTAGTAGCAGTAGTTGTAGT